ATTAAGTGTCGTTTCTTCTTTTTGCACTTCACCCCATAATGTTTGTGAATAGGCGCTTATCTAACATTGAATATGAATTGATAAAATAAGCACTGAACGAGACAATTACCAAAATTCGAAATATGCTAATTTTTGTTTGTTCTGAATGTCAACTGCTTGTACATTAAGCTAATAAGGTTTAATGATAGCATTACCAACTTATTTGCATACTAAATTCACTAATTTATGAGCAGTTCAATTTATGCTTTTCCGCTGCGCATAACAATTGCGCTTTGTTATTTATTGGCGAGACAGTTCTCAGAGTAAGTGTCAAAGGTTAAAATAATACATTCCAATGAATGCCACCTGCAAGGACATGCATGTTGTCATTGCCCACCAAAGTGACCATTTTCGCACAAATCCAATATGATAAATTTGCTTTGTATTAGACCATAACTTTCTCAGTCGGAATTTTACATATTCTATATAGGTAGTCGGTTCATTCAACATTTCGATTTCTTAAAATTCAATTTTGAATTTCAAATAAAATATTCAATATAAATTAAACATCCAAAACATATGCATGTATTGATGTTGGTCACTTTTTTGAATCATAAATTATCTAACTAACTAATTAATTAATGCTCAGCTTATTCATTTATTTTTTTTTTCATTAATTATATTAGCTTTAATCTCATCAGGAATATTCCATATTAAATTCTTCATAAATAATTTCTTTAAACGATGAAAGAATAATTTGAAATGAAAAACTATAGAAGGAAGAAAAAAATTAACCTGTTGTAATTTTAATTCGTTCAATCAACGATTTCCATTGTATTCGTGGAAAGCATAAACCGAAAATAAATACCAAAATAGGTGATATAAGTGAAATTTGATTAACGGTTAAATAAGTACCAATTCCAGTTATTACAATTATTTGGCTTAATAAATAACCAAATGTACGTCCAGCCATTGTTGATGCACGTGTCCATGATGTTAACCTAAAAATATAATTTTCAATATTTGCAGTGTTAATTTTAATTAAAGAGATTTTTGAAAATTAAAATTTTTGAAAAATACTTTTTTTTTTGCGTAAAAAAAAAATTGAAAAATAAAAGTGAACAAAAAATGAAATAAACATTTACCGTTTATATTCATTTTTTCGAACTTTAGCATAAATATATGAATAAAATGCAATTTCAGCTGCAGATGCAATACCATAAAAAGACATTCCAATTTGTTGTGTGAATACTCCTGAACCAAATACCAATGTAGTTCTGTAATTAGGAGGGAGGAAAATTTTCTGTTAGATTTTAATTAGAGAGATAATTTAAAATTATAATATTTAACAATTAAGCTAATCATTATGATGAAATTTTAATTAGGAAAATGTAAAAAATTTGTTGAATTGATACCATTGTCAGGTAGGTTTAAAAATTTTTTAATTATTTTCATGATTTAATTAAAATATTCCAGTTGATATGATAAGTAATTTTGCTAGATAAGTTAGTGGTAAGTTTGTTTGATTGTTTAAATTTGTTGGAATAAGTTTACAACAATTTTGCAATTATATTATTTAGCAAAAGGAAGGAAAAAAAAAAAAAAAACAAAACTACCTGAAAACCATATAACCAATGCTCTCTAAAATTAGAATGGGCTTGTAAAGTAATAAATCAGTTAATAAAAATATTGGAATAAGAGTAATCAAATAACTATATGTCCAATATGGATATATCTGAAATGAATTTTACGTTCATTTATCTGAAATGGTTGATTATGTTCAACCATTAAATGCATATTAATTAATAAAGTAATCAATTTTCTTTCTTTCAACTATTTTACTATCCAAACTAATAATAATGGTTTTAATTATTCAAATATTTTTAGTAGTTGGTAAATTTAAGGTTAATCTTTTAAGGTTATTTAATTAATTTGTTTTAATTCTTTTACACTTACAAATAGTACAAAATTCACAGATGAACTTAAATAAATTAAATCATTCAAAAGGTAACATTAAATAGTTTCCAGTGACCTTTGTTCAATAATATTGAATAACTCCCAGTGACCTTTGTTCAATGTTTTCTAATTAAATTTCGTTCATTTCTAATTAAATTATTCCTGGTAATTATTGTTGCGTAATTTGTTCGTTCGTTAAAAAAAAATCAATAATGACATACTTCACCATTGAGTTGTTTTTCGGTAAGGTTTAAAAAATTGGTTTGATATTTGAATAAGAATGGTTCACCCGGTTTGAAATCCTTAAAGAATCCATACAATACTAATAATATAGGCACTGAACTCCACGTCATCTTTATGTAATGTTATTTAGAATACTGAAAATTATTACTATTTTTATCCATTAATAGTTTTAACTTCAAAAAAAAAAAATTAACGGAAATGAACAATGTACGTATACTTTATAACCTACGTATATTTATTATATTTACTGTATTTACTTACTGTATTTACTGTAGCCATATTTACTGTAATCATTACTTTATGCTATAGATTATGATTGTAAAGTCAAACGAATGCAAAAAAATTTTAGCATTTCCAATTTTTTTTTTTTCCTCAGGAAAAATCCATAAAATCTTTACTAAGCCAATGTAAAACAAAGCATATATCAATAATTTTTTTTTTTAAATCGAAATTTTAAAGAATATATATGAAATTAATGGAAATAAATATTTCACAAATGATTCATAAAAATGATCGCTAATCGTATCATACGTATGTCATCATATACATGTCACAGATAGATGATTTCTATCATTTATTTAATATTTATTAATTTAGGCCTTTTTTTTTTAACGTTTAAATGGGACAATTACTAAACATTTCATACATGTCATCTTATACATGTCACATATCGATTTTAATCATTTTGATACATTAACACCTATTATTTTAGCATCGTTTTTATTTAAATTATATAAAATGAATGTAAAAAAAAAAATAGAAAACAAAATTTAATACTTATTAATTACAAAATTAATTATTTTATTATCATTACAATTTTATTTAACATTGTAATAATTTCCAAATAATTTGTGAAACAACAAAAAAATTATGTAAAATATTGTTTTTTTTTCCTTTTAGCACATATTTCCGGATTAGTGATAAAATTACATTCAATGCATATTTCCGGAATATTGATAAAGTTAATTAACATTAAACCTGTAAATAACATTGCAACAATTAACAACAAACAGCCAAAAACAAATAGCTGAAGAAAAATTAATCAAAGTAGGGAAGAAGAAAAAAAAAACAAAAGATTAATTGGCTGCAAAAATTCCAGAAGAACATCAATAAATTTTATTTAAACAATCCAAAATTGTATGCATTCTAAAATTAAGATAAATAAAAAGTTTTTTTTTTTACTTCTCATTTTCACTTTTAATTTTTCTTTTTTTTCTTTTGAAAATTTCATCTTTAATTGCCCTAAAAATCGCATGTAATTCATCTTTACATGTATATGTTGTAAATCAAATATTTTTCACGTAAAAATGAACGTCGCAAATAAATGTTTTTCACGTAAATAAACGTTGTAAATAAGTGTTATTTATGCAAATATATGCATATTATTGAGTTAATTGATAATGCAAACAAAAAAAAAAATAAATAAATAAATAAATCACTGATGAAATGAATGAATTTAGGCAGGTTATTTGCATACTTGAATGGATACCAATAGAAGACAACAGTTAATTAATATTAATAAAATATTTAATGACATACATGAAAATCATAAATGATTCGTGTTTATATGTATATATCTGTTCATGAAAAGATTGGAACAAGTATAATTTATATTGCAAAATTGATGTAAAAAGTTGATAAACGAACTTTATTTGTTTGTTTGCCTGTTTGTTTTTGTTTATTTGTTTTTTTTGTTCGTTCGTTTGTTTGCTTGTTTGTTTATTTGTTCCTTTGTTTGTTTGCTTGTCTGTCTGTTTGTTTCTGTTTATTGTTTTTTTCGTTCGTTCGTTTGTTTGCTTGTTTGTTTGTTTGCTTGCTTCTTTGCTTGTTTGC